AACACACACCAGGGCTGGCAGGACACAAACACACACCAGGGCACGTCACTGACCTACTCCTGTACCTGCACACACTGTACATGGAAACATGGTCCCAGGCTGGGATGCCTCAAAGGAAGTAATTCCTCCCTGGCAGGGTGGCCAGGCCCTGGCACAGGCTGCCCAGAGCTCCCTGGAGGTGCCCAAGGCCAGGCAGGACAGGGCTTGCAGCAGCCTGGCACAGGGGAACGTGACTCTGCCCAAGGAATGAGACAAATTCTGACGTCCCTCCCAATCCAAACCTTGGCCTCATTCCCTGAGCACCTTTCCTGCAGCACACTCAGCGTGGGGGAAATTCCCCACACAATTTCTGGTGCAGGCATTTGATGCAGAGTGGTTGTGTGTACAAACTGCGTAAGGGATCGTGTACAGAAGGCCAAGATTTGCAGCTTCCCACAAGTTTTTCTAAAGAGGGGCATTTATGCTCTTCGATACTCCCACCATGACTGCCTTTCTTATATCACATTTTCCATTTACTTCTTACTATGGTCGCAAAAAAAGAGATCAGCTTCATCTTTCCTTTGTGCTGTGACAGGAAGGAGTGAAAGGGAAAGGTGACAGGCAAACCCCAGCAAAGAAAGCTCCAGGGAGGGAAGGAACTGTGGAGCCAGCCTCAAACACCACAGCACCTCTGTGAAAACAGAGAGAAAGACCATGGACAGTCAGAAAGTTGTATCACAAGGTGGAATCCAGGAGAGTACAGGAGCTGGAAGAGCAGCTGGAACATCCAGGAGAGCTCAGAACTGGAGGAGCAGATGGAACATCCAGGAGAGCTCAGGAACATCCAGGAGAGCTCAGAGCAGCTGGAACATCCAGGAGAGCTCAGGAACATCCAGGAGAGCTCAGAACTGGAAGAGCAGCTGGAATACCCAGGAGAGCTCAGAGCAGCTGGAACATTGCTGTGGCCATCCCCACTGAAGGAGCTCAGGTGGCATCACCCCTGCCCACCTGCAGCCACGCCACACAGATGGTGACAGGAGCACTGCTCAGCCCACCCATGCTGCAGACACACAGCTCTGCCCAGGCCTCCAGGAGGCAGGAATGACAGCTCTGCTCCCCAAGGAAGGCTGCTGGCAGGACTGGAGTAGTTCCACACCCCTCATGCAGCAGCAAAGGAGTCCTGTGAGAGCCTGAAACCTTCCAAGTGCCTGTGCCAGAACACAACATTCCAGGGAGCTGAGAAGGAACAAATCAGCATCTCACACGTCTGCAGAGGTGCTGCCTTGCAGGAAGACAAAGGGAAGCGTGCCCTTTCCATGCTCTATGAGCTCAGGAGGAAGGCTGATGGCTGAAGCACAGTCCCTGCTCAGAACCAGGGTTCCTGCAAGCACAGACAACACTCAGCCCTGCTTCTTGTCTCCTGGCTTGGACCTCTCCTCAGACTTCATTTCGGACAGCAGGGACACACCTGCCAGTTACAGCATTCCTTTCCATGGAATTCGAGCACAAGGAACACAAAGCACTGAGGAAGGAGCTCAGTGATTGCCACCTGAGCCCAGCGTTCCAGCCAGCTGACATGCCACAGGGCACACCCGCAGGTACCTCTCTAAGCCCAGAAAGGACTCGGTGGTGGCCCTGTGCAGAGGATTGCTGGCCTCAGGGCTCCCCACTCCTTGCCTGGCCCCGGGCGTGTTGCATTAGCTCTCCCCAGAGCTGAGAGCCGATTACAGGCAATTCTCCCGAGAAAGGAACTCTCCCAGCAGACCGGCTGCTCAAATTGCCACATCAATCTTGCTCACCACCCCTAAGAGAAGCTTATTCAGGAGAGAAAGGAAAATAGGGCTTAGCATAAACCACTCCAGTACAAAGGCAGACAGGCATTCCAACCAGACTGCGCTTTTACACCTGGAACAGCTCAATTGCATCCCGGGAACCACGAGGCCACAACTGTGAGGTGGGAGTGGAAGTGTTTGGATGGGGCTGGGTGAGCTCAGTGCATGGCAGCTGGGCACCAGGCTGCCCCAGGCTCTGCCAGGGCACGGCACAGCCCCGCTGCCTCCCAAAGGGAACGGCCCTGCAGGCAGCAAAGGGCACACAAGGTCTGCTCTGGAAAGGAGGATGACCTGACCACAGCCTGGGTGTCACAGGCTGCAGGGAAAGGAGGGGCTCTGACCAGACACTGGTGGGCTTCTCCCCGGCTCTGTCCCAGGCGGCTGGGGAAGGCTGCTGCCAGCTCTGAGCAGGATGCACCCGAGTGCAGGTGAAAGGGGAAGGGATGCAGTCCGTGTGCTTCCCACCAAGGCTGTACCAGGGAAGAGCCCTCACACACAAACCCCTCCTCTTTCATGAGCAGGTACTGAAACCTGCCTCTCTTCCGAGCTGAGACCAATAGCTTGTGACAGAAATGGGATTTTATTTTAATGAAAATTATAATTGCAACCAGCATGAGAAGCACTGCAGTCAGAAATGTCATCTTTCCATCACGCAAATATTCTGAATCACCTTTAAAAGCAGCTCAGAGTGTTTTAGTGCTGTCAGTGCCATCTGACACAGTAAATCTGCATGTTAAGCCTTACCCTTGATTTCAATAGAAGCCATAAATGGCACCTTTGGACCCATGGCCTCACCTGGAGGGTGGGCTGAAGTCCCTGACAGGCTCTAGAACAAGCTGTGGCAGGAACAGGAGCCCTTGGCTGGCGTGGGCAGAGCCAGGAGCACGTCACAAGGAGTAGCTAGTGCATGGAGTGATCTGTCCAAGGAGTTCAATAACCCCAGGGAACAGTTCCCAGGAACAGCTGAGCACTGGTGAAGATTCAGAGGGACATTAGCTCAAGCTGCTATTAAAGGATTCATGATAAGAAGAAACAGACTTTAAACTTAAAAGGACACAAAGGGGCGGGGAGAGCAGTCTACACAAAATAGAAACTACACAAAAGATTTATCAGCACAAGTTCCTGCTTTCAATTTCCAAAAGTTAATACAAACCCTAGTCACAGTAGGAAGTCCTTGGTGCATTCCTTAACCATTAGTCACTCTCACTTGGGCTACAGGAACATGGAACAGCCCCCTCCAGAGGAGTCTCCCACCCCAGACCCAGGCTGGTGACCAGCTCCCCGCCTCGGTGAGGTCCCCAGGTGACCCTCCCTCCCCAGGTATCAGACCTGCACCTGCTGCGTCGAAGGTAATTGTCCACTTCAGCAAATAATGCACTCCTTACACTGCTTTGCTTTCGCCCGAACACCCTACCAGGCACCACTTAGACCCTGGTTTTTAAAGAAGGGACTCCAACAGCCGTGCTCAGCAGACGGCTCTGCACAGTGCATCCCTCATGACAAACCTCTGCCACCCGGGCCCTCGCCCAGCTGGCACAGCTCCTGGCAGTGACTTGCCCTCCTTACTTCCCGTAAGGCCCGGCCCAGCCGGCTGCAGACTGCAGTCTGGATGTTGCTGGGCGTTGTGCAACCCATCCCACCCCAGGCAGCAGGTGGCCGAAAGGGAAGCGCCGCAATCGCCAGCGCTTCTCTGCTCAGGTACTCTCCAACCACAGAGGTACGGGGCTGGGGCTGGGCAGCCCGTGGCCAGAGCTGCGGGAAGAATGAAAGGAAGGAGGGAAGGGAAGGGTGGGGAGCCCAGCCCCGCACCATGAGCTGGAGAGTGGAGCGGGATGCTGCTGCAGCAGAAGCGGG